TTTTCTAAAATCATTAGCACTACCTAAATCAAAGTTTTTTATTATACAAATCTCCCCTTCTTCTGTTAATTCCTTTGTTGCAATCTATAATGGGGTCACTTGTAAGCTCCATTTTTATCTTCTTCACTCACTTTATTATTAAAACACCTATGGAATTATGAATAAGAAAGACTAGACTTCTGGCTGAAGATTTAAGGGTCATGAGTTCAAGTCTCATTGCTGCCACTTAGGATATTCAAAGAAGTCATTTCAGTATCATGAGTTTTAGGTTCTCAATCCAACAAATATTTTGGGAGGATTTTAAATACAGGTTAAAGTAACAGTGAATAGTTAACTAAACCCTACTATCCCTAAAGTCTTGAAATTTGTAGGGTTTGAATTCTGACTATATAAGCAAAGGAATACTTAGTGATCAGATATTTTTTAAATGTAAGAAAAGCCAAAAGGTGTAACAATTCATAAAAGTCTATTCATGGAAAAAGGAAACAGACTAGGAAAAATGAAAAAGGTCAAATAATGAGAGAGATGTGGTAGCCTATAGGGAGAAGAAACTGTGAAATCAGTAATTGAAAAATCAATTAAAATAGCTTCCAAATAAAATTTAAATCCTATTAATGCAGTAATGTTATTAATTGGCATGTAGATATTCTTCACTTCCAGTAGAATAAATATATATAAAAGTTCTGGCACTATGCCCACATGGTGGTAGTGAGCTCTCCCCTCAAACCTTTAACTGTTAAAACCAAGGAAATGGTTACTGATACAGGTATAAAAGTATGAAAAATTACTGGGTTATGATGAAGCATCAAAGGAAAACGTCACATCAGAGCCTACACATGACAAAATTTGATTCTGTGAATTAATGTTGTATAGGCCTGTATTTCAGTCTTTTCAATTTCTGCAGAGGAACAAGAGAAGGCATCATGCGGTTGAGGCAAGCTGACAGTCAGATCATGGGTCAGCTACCCACCAATGACAGGATCAGTCAGTTAATCTACCCTTTAAGTGACAGCTGCCCAATTATGGGGAAAAAAGTAAGTTGTGATGACTTTCACAATATGGAATACTCTGGACAAATGACTTTTAATTAATCTTGCAGCCAAAAAGTTAATCTTAGCTTGTTTATAATGTAGACAAGCTCTTGTGACCTAGGAATGCAGCCTTAATCCCTTGTGACCTTCCTTACCCTTGACCCAAAATAATATGATTGTGTGTGTGTGTGTGTGTGTGTGGTTGTTTTATACATCAAGCACTACAAACTATAAACAACCCATATCTTATTGAAAGCACTGAGAGATAATTAATCCCATTTGTGCTGCAAACAACAGATGAGATTAAGTTGTTGACATTTGTTTGTGTTTGTGTATGTCCTAGAGGTCAATAAGGGTGAGAGGGACATAACCTTCTGATAAGGGTCCATTTTTAAATCCTCATTTCATGCTGGATATACTGTTTCAATAAAAGAAAGAGTGAGACCTTGTTCGGGAGCACAGCTCAGAGAGAATGCTGAAGGAGTAAGTTCTCAGAACAGTTGGGTCCCTCTTGGCTGAAATGGATGCTAAGAGTCCAGCTGTCTTTATTCAAGCATCACCATGACATGGCATTGCAAGTACCACCACAGCAAGTTATCACAGCACACATTGCAAACATCTATGATGATTCTGTGAAGTAGCAAATGCTGCATGCACACATGGCATCTAGCCCAGAAAATACTCAATAATCTTTTTTTGGGGGGGCGGTGTCTTTTGAGACAGGGTCTCCCTGTAGCCCCAGCTGGCCTGGAACTCGCTATGTAGACCAGGCTAGCCTTGAACTCACAGAGATCCACCTGCCTCTGCCTCCCTCATGCTAGGATCAAAGGCATGCACCACCATGCCTGGCTTTCAATACTCTTAAACAATTAAATCAATACAAATTTACCTTGTTTTAAAGCAGTGTTCAGTACATTTATCTGCTTCTAAAGATAAAGGAAAACTACATTTAAAATCAACAAAATTAACAGGAAAATATAATATTTTACATTGTATAGCTGATGATACTTTTGTAGCATGACCCTCTTTAGAACCATACATACAGAATATTCCACAGTGAAGATCAGTTATGTCCCGCGCTATCGTCTCGCCAGCAAGAACGACGCGGCACACTCAGGATCCTTCTGCAGAAAAGCTTTAATGCATCTTGAGAGTCCAGGGAGGCCCGAATGGGTCCTAATATGTGTAATATAAAAGGGTGTACTCCTCTTAAATAAACAATCTTGTATTTTCTGAAAAAGGGCAGCCACCCTGCTGGTTGGTTTTATAACACCAGCTGTCTCTAGCACAGCAACTGCATTAACTACATAGGATGAGTCAGAAATAATATTAAGAGGACCTGAAAACTTTTGAAGAACCTCCAACACAACCAGACATTCTACTATTTGAGGAGAGGTTTCTGCATATTGTCGTGAGAACACCTTGGAACCCATGACATATGCCCCCTTCCCATTCTTGGAGCCATCTGTATATATCATCAATCCCTCTTTCAGTGGAATGGGAGATGTAACTCGGGGAAAGACTACAGGATGGAGGGCTGCAAACTGCAGCAAAGGATGCCTTGGATAGTGATTATCAATTCTCCCCGAGAAGGTGGTAACTAGTATGGCCCAGTCATTTGAGGTGGCAGCTAATGTTTGCACCTGAGAGGAATTATAGGGGACCAAGATAGATGTAGGGTGCTTGCCAAAGTGTTCTATAGCCAATTTTAAGCCTTTAAGTGCAAGTTGAGCTATAGCCGTGGGGTACCAGTCAATTATTTTTTGGGGGGAAGCGTTCGGGTGAACCCATAACAGGGGTCCTTCCTGCCATAAAACCGCAGTGGGCAGCTTTCTTGTTTTAAAAACATAGAGACAAAAAGGTTGAGAGCTGTTAATGCGACGTAACTGTGCTTTCTCTATTGCCTCCTCTACTAGGAGGAGTGCTGTTTCCGCAGCAGGGGTCAAGGATCGAGGGGAAGTAATATGGGTGTCCCCCTCCAAAATGTCAAAAAGAGGTTTTAAATCCGCTGTGGGAATTTTGAGAAATGGGCGAAGCCAATTAATATCTCCCAATAATTTTTGGAAATCATTTAAAGTGCACAAATCTTTTCTATAAATTTTTATCTTTTGTGGACGAATCACATCAGGGAGAATAACAGTGCCCAGGAATTGGCCTGTATCAGAAAACTGGACCTTTTCAGTGGCGACTTGAAGTCCCCAGTATTGCAAAGCTTTCACCAGCTGTGGGTAAGCTTTTTCAAGGGTCTCTCGCTCTTGATGACACATGAGCACATCATCCATGTAATGAATAATAGTTATCGCAGGAAATTTTTCTCTAATAGGCTTTAGAGCCTCCTGTACATACAGTTGACATATGGTGGGACTGTTGGCCATCCCTTGAGGCAGCACTCTCCATTGAAATCTCTTATCTGGCTCCATATGATTAATTGAAGGGATGGTAAAAGCAAAGCGCTGCCTGTCAGAGACATGCAGGGGGATAGAAAAGAAGCAGTCCTTTATATCTATAATGATTAAGTTCCAATCCTTAGGCAGAGCAGAGAGGACCGGAAGTCCCCGCTGCACTGCCCCAAGGGGATACATTTGCTCATTAATAGCTCTTAGGTCATGTAATAACCTCCATTTTCCAGATTTCTTTTTTATCACAAAAATCGGGGTATTCCAAGGGGAGGTAGATGGCTCTATATGCCCCAAAGCCAGCTGCTCAGTGACCAGATCAGTTACTGCAGCCAATTTTTTGGAGGTCAAAGGCCACTGAGGAACCCACACCGGAGCCTCCGTTTTCCATGGTATGGGCCGTACTGCCTCAGTGGCACCTAGGAAAAACCCAGGCCTTGTCTGCCTTGATTTGGGTTGGGTGCTATGGGTTCTGTACACCCCTGTTCACAACACCCCAGCCCTTTTCCTCTCTCATACCCCATTTTCTTCATATTTGGATTGCTTGTGGTGAATATTCATTGGACAGAGTAAGCCCGAGGTCGTGCATAACATCCCGTCCCCATAGGTTGACAGGTAAAGGGAGGACATAAGGAGTGAATCTTCCCTCCCGCCCTTCCGCCGTCTTCCAAGTGAGGGCGGAAGAGCTGATTGTGGGATGGGCACTATAACCCAAACCCTGTAATGAATGGGAAGCCTCGGTAATCGGCCAAGACCTTGGCCACCAATGGGAAGAGATGATGCTCTTATCTGCCCCAGTATCTAGGATGCCTTCAAAACTCTTACCATTAACCTGTAGGAGCAGCTTCGGCCTATTTTGTAGGCTGACAACTAAATAGGCTGAGTCCTGACCCGAGGATCCCATCGGCCTATTTCTAAATTCCTGGTGGGTACTTGGAAGGAGTAGCAACTGAGCTATCCTATCCCCTTTACTGATAGAAAATATGCCTTTAGGGCTAGAGCACAAAACCTGAACCTCAGGGGTACGCTGATTGTCAATTATGCCAGGGTGAACAATCAATCCTTGCAGGGTGAGTGACCCTCGGCCCAGAAGGAGCCCTACAGTCCCTTGAGGAAATGGTATGGGCAAACAGGCAGGTATGGGCTGCACTGCCATTTGAGGCATCAATAAGAAATCGGAGGAGGCGCGCAAGTCCAGTCTTGTGTCATCCCCAAGGGGGCTTTCTCCGGGGCCTTGATGAACCGGTTCCCATATTTTTGTGGGCCCTGGGACCATGGGCCCGCTGCCCCGTTTTTTGGATCCTCATTGATAAAGGTTGCCTTAGGAGGGAGGACATTACCTCTCAAATCCCTAACCGAGCGACATAGGTCTGCCTTATGATAGCCCTTGCCGCAGCGGGTGCAAAGAGCAGGGGTGGGCCCTCTGATTTCTACAGTCTCTTTTCATGTGTCCGGGCTTTCCGCAGTTAAAGCAGACCCTTTTTTCGGGCCCCTTAGGGGGGCGTCTCTGGGACTGTAAAATGGCTGCTGCCAGCCCTGCATTGGTAAGAGGGCCCCCTAACTCTCTACAAACCCTAAGCCAGTCCTGCATCCCTTTGTTTTTTCTAGGGGCAATGGCGGCACAGCATTCCTGAGTGGCTTGTTCAAAGACAAGCTGTTCGACAAGAGGCATGGCTGTCTCAGAGTCTCCAAAAATGCGCCCTGCCGCCTCCGTCATCCTAGCCACAAAGTCAGAAAAAGGCTCTTGAGCTCCTTGTATAATCTTTGTTAATTGGTTACCTCCCTCACCCTTCCTAGAGAGTGCCTTCCAGGCCCTGATGGCAGTGCTTGAGACTTGTTGGTATGCTCCCCAGGGGAAATTTGTTTGATTGGTTGCATAGCGTCCCTGCCCTGTCAGCATGTCAAAAGTCCATTCTTGCTGTTCTGGTGTCAAAGATATAGCATTGGCCCTGGCTTGTTCTTGAGCTGCTTCATGCCAAAGGGCCTTCCATTCCATAAACTGGCCCATGCTGTTAAGCGTGGCCTTGGCTATTGTTTGCCAATCAGTAGGTGTCATGGAGTCTCTCGCCAGCCTGTCCAATTGTGCCAATGTGAAATTGGCGGTGACGCCATACTTTCTGACTGACTCTGCTAATTCCTTTATTTGGTTATATTCCACGGGTGTGTATACCCGCCCGTTCTCTAGGCCTTCAAAGACAGGGAAGGCCGAACGTAACTTCCTCCGCACTTTATCAGATAGGAGGGAAAAAGATCCTCGGCGGACCTCATACGGAGGGGACGCTGAGGGGGCCACTTGTGAAGCGGCCATCACAGAATGTGAATGTTTTTGGTGTCTCTTGTTGCCTTGTACATGATCATCTGGATGATATCTTTCTTCCTCATACTTCGCTACTTCCTCATCTAGCTCCGCCTCCTCCTCCGGGTCAAGGCTCTCGTCCTCAGAGCTCCCAGGGCTTCCTGAACTACTTAATTGCAGAGCCTTTAGTTCTCAGAAGGGGTATATACTAGTCCCTTTGTCCGGCCTCTCGACAGGCAAAGATTCTCTAGGCTCTTTAAAATACGCTCCCTTGTCAACAGACCTTCCGGGAGGGCCATTTTCCTTATTTGGGGCCCGTTTCTTTTTTCGTGCACCTAACCTCTCACTGCGTTCAGTTTCTGACATGCTATCCTGGACTTCCTCAAGAACATTTCGACTTTCCGCCACAACGGCCTGGCATGTTTTATACAACAAAACTATAAGTGCTCCCAGAATGATAACCAAGGCCTCAAAGCTACCTTTCCAAGGCGGAAACAGGTTCAAGCCAAAGTCCAGAAAAAACATACCTCTCTGAACGTCCTTACCTGCAGTTCTGAATCCTCCTTGAACTCAAGGGGTCTCCGATGGTGCTGACAATGGTTTGGTCAAATTCCCGGGTCTCAGCACCAGTTGTCCCGCGCTATCGTCTCACCAGCAAGAACGACGCGGCACACTCAGGATCCTTCTGCAGAAAAGCTTTAATGCATCTTGAGAGGGAGAGCATAAGCTTACAGGGCGAAGACCCCGAATGTCGGAAACCCAGCCCTTATATAGGTTAGTAAGCCCGTCTTGGACGTGGCAACTCTTGATTGGTCGCAAACTCATCAGCCCATATCACGCCACAAGGTAGGCAGAGACTAGAAGGTGGAAAATTACTTCGAGCATGCGTACTGACTTATTTACTGCTCAGCATGAACCGGATGTGAGCGCCATCTTGTAATGGCATCTGCAGGGACGGCAGGC